CAAGGCAACCAACCATCAGGTTTTGCTTGTTGCTTCCTCTCTGTCCTGCTTGTGCCTTTGCATATCTCCATTTACCTCTGCCTGTGTTTTTTCCCCCACCTGTAAAGTTACAGAAGGGGATTTAGGAAGTAAAGGCACAGAAATAAAAACTAGTGATTATTATTATGTCTTCCTAATGCACAAGGCCTTGGACCCCTCAATGGCAATGATTCCTTTTTTTCTTGTATAAAGAAAGGAATAATTTACCTGAGAAGATCTGGTCTGTTTATTTCAAGCTCGTCACATCTTGAAGATCAGAACTGGGCTCTAATATCACGTCACATGTTAAGAGAGTTTAAGCATCAGCTTTCTTCAATTATGTCTAAGCCTTCTGGCACCTCTGAATCAGCTGAGATGCACCGTTACAGTGAGCTGATGGAGTCAGTTCCATTTCTGTCCCCTGCACTGTATATGAGAGACAAGGTATGCTCTGGTCTATGTGGAGTATGCTCTCTAGGCCTGAACTTATGGCCCTAGCTCCAGTGAGTTCAGAGTCTAGCCTTTGGGGTTGTGAAAATCATCTTGTAAGCCAAACTTGAGTGAAACCACCAAGTCATGGCTGCCAGTGCCCATAGTGGGTTGGAAATGTCATACCTGGAGCTGCACTATGGACGCTTCTCTGTGCAGCTCTCTGGAGATGGCAGGAGTGAGCAGTGCCAAAACAAACTTCCAGACAGAAGGAGCAAAGTGCGCTGAGTGCAGGTGTGCTGCTGTTGGACCAGCTTAGGTGTTATGGTTTAACCCAGCAGGTAGCTAAACACCATGCAGCCGCTCGCTCACTCCCCCTGCCGCCCCAGTGGGATAGAGGAAAGAACTGGGGGGAAAAAGTAGGTGGGTTGAGACAAAGATAGTTTAATCAGACAGAAACAGAAGGGATGATGATGATAATATTAATAATAGTAATAATAGTAATTATAATATACAAAACTAGTGATGCACGATGCAATTGGTCACCACTCACTGATCGGTGCCCAGTCAGATCCTGAGCAGTGGTGCCTGGCCAGATTTCTCCCCAGTTAATATACTGAGCATGACACCATATGGTGTGGAATATCCCTTTGGTCAGATGGGGTCAGCTGTCATGGCTGTGTCCCGTCCCAGGTCCTTGTGCACGCCCAGCCACTGGTAGAGCAGAAAAGTCCTTGACTTGGTGTAAGCACTGCTCAGCAACAACTGAAAAATTGGTGTGTTATCAACACTGTTCTCATCCTAAATCCAAACGACAGCACTGTACCAGCTACTAGGAGGAAAATTAACTCTATCCCAGCTGAAACCAGGACATAAGGGAAGCTGGGCTGTTCCTCTTTTACCAAAGAGGAGGAGCCCACTCCCATTTCTGCAGGAAAAGCTGTGAGAAAGGCAAAGGAGAATGCCTCATGCTCTTCAGGAAAGCATTTGAGCTTTGAAATGTGTCTTGGAAAGTTGATCTTGAAAGTTAAACTGAAAGAGAAGCTGAATTCCTGACTTTGCTCCCTTCTGTTTCAAGGAGCCAAGGAACTTGACAGGCTCATCTGATTGCAATTACAGGCTACACAAAAACTTACAGGTGGAGTGCTACGAGAGGCGGTGATGTGGTTCAAATAGCAAAACTATGAAGCATCGAGAACTGAATGTCAAAACCGTCTAAATGCAGCTTTAGAAAACAATCATCGCTGCTTCTGGGGCACCTAGAGTAGAAAGAGATCCAGAATCACAGACAGAATACGTGTTTCAGTGATGGAGACGAGGGGGAGAATCGTCAGGGAAGAGAGATTCCACGCCTCATCTCCTGCTTGCTTGAATTATCCTCCCCTGGGTGCTCGGGCTTTGCAGAAGCAAACAGGAAGCCCCGGGGTGGAACTGAAAACCAGAGGAGCTGCTCGCCGCAGGAGGTGCATGTGCTTTTCTAGTAAAGGGACCTCCCCATTTTCAGAGAAGCGGAGTCTTAATCCATTCCCTCTAATTCCCGTGACACTGACAGAAAACACCAGCAAGTGCCTTTGCAAAGACTAAAGTCAGCATCCTTCTGCACAGTGCTGGCTGACCTCAATACTCTGCTTTGCAGGACGGGAACTGGAACGTTGTGCAGCAAGGGAATCTGTGTTTGAACAGTCTCCTCTGGGTTTTTTCCTAGGATACGTTTGTTGGGTTTTTTCTTAAGAGATTTGTTGGGGATGATGAGGCAGGAGTTTTGTCATATTGCAGTTAAATTTGGCAATGGAAACTAATGCATAATTAGAAGTTCTGGGACATTTTAAACACAAATTTCATTCCCATCTTCTCTTTCCTTCACCAAAGTTTTCAAGTGCAGAGTCCCAGAGCTCTGATGCTTTCACCCTACCAAAATTCTCCACCGATTATCCCATATGCAATGGGGGAAAATCACTTTCCTGCCATCTGTCCTGAATGAGAAATCTTTTATTATGCTGTTTCCCTGTTGTATAATTTTTTTGTTGTTATGAAATAGTAACTTGCATTTGCAGTATTTGTACCCTCAAGAGCTTAGGCAATTCCCTTCATTTTCCATGCTGCTGCTCTTAAATGAAGGCAAATACTATCCTGTTTTCAGTAGATGGATAACGCTGCTGAACTCCACATTTTTTACTCTTCAGGATACCTTTCCCAAGCATGGCATTTTCTAATTACAAGGACACGAATCGGTTCCACGGATAGGCCTTTATTAAAAATTATGTCACTGCACGATCACTTCCTTTCCACCTCTTCGACCGGCCTTTTAATGGCTTTGCCGTATGACCAACGTTTCTGGAGGGTTCCACGTTTCCCGCAGGCTCTTTGGCACATCCATTAAACTCTGTTAATTTTTCATCCGACTTGATAAGCGTGCGAGAGGAGCTTTTAGGGGTCGAAACCTCACTGCCCCAGCTACCTAACAGAGATCCACTCTCTTCCACAGCCGGCACGGAAGCCGCGTCCGGTGAACGGGTGAGTGAAAGGGTGCGGGCTCCCCCCCCTCCCCTCAGCATGATACCGGTTGGCTTTAACCCCCTTTTTAACCCCAGTTTAGCAGAGACCTTCCCTTTATCGCGGCGTTTCCTGGGGCTCATCACTTCACCCTGGGGATAAGGGGGAGAGACACACAATGACACGACCTCAGGAGGGAGAGGTGTCCCCCGTCCCGTTCCCCCCCCCCCCCCCCCCCCGCATTCCGTACCCCTCCGCTCCCGGTGTCGGCGGCCCCGCGGGCAGGTGACCGCGGGCTCCTGCACGCGCGCCCGGTCCCGTGACGCCGCCGCGCGCCCGCCCAGCTGAGCGCCGCGTGACGGCGGACGCGGCGCCAACAGGTGTCCCCGCGCGCTGCCGCCACCGCCGGGGCACCCCCTTGCACCTCCCCGCCGACCCCACCGCCGTGACCCGGGCTCTAGCGCAGAGAGGTCTCCTGGGGACACGCAGGCTCCCGTCCCCAGAGCGGGAGGGGAAGCTCAGCGGAGGCCCTTCGCAACTTTCGGGACTTGAAGGGGACGGGACTTATCGCGGCGCTAAGCGGCAGACACCGCTACCCACACAGCCCCGGCTCGGCGGCCAGGCACCTGCCGCGGCACAGGTCCGCTCTGCCCTCACGGGTGGGCCCGCCGGGGCGGGATAGCAAGGGAGAGAAGGGGAAAGGTGTTTAGAAGCTGCCGCCGGGGCCCACGCACTGTACGGGAGAAGCGGGCCGGGGCTCTGTGGCACAGCGGCACCGCGGCACCGCCGGCCCCGGGCGGACACTCGGCTTCCCGGAAGCCGGCTCGTACGCGTTAATTTTCCGTGGGGTTTTTCCCGGTGTGGGGGTGGATGAGGAACGGGAATCCCCCGCCCGGCGCCCCGGCCACAGCCCCACACCGCCCCCATCACGCTCTGCCCGGCTTCCCCCGCTCTCCACTATGGGGGGGGGGGGCGGGGGGAAAGGTTGAAGGGGCAAGGGGGCGTGGCCTGTCCCGGCGTTGCCCCGCCCCCCCGCAGCGCGTGTGGATGTCAAACAAACGGCGCGCGCACCTCCTACCCCCCACCTCCGCCTTCTACCGGCTATAAATAGCCCGCGCCGTGCGTGTGTCACGTTCCCATTACGTACGCCTTACGCTGACGCACGGGGGCGGTGCTCTCCGTGACGTCAGCACGTATCCGGCCAATCTATAAATAAACTTCCGGTGGCGTGTGCCAGGGGTGGGCGCGGGCCGTGGTGGCGGTGCTGCCGCCGTGGTTGCTTCTCGGAGCTTCCCCGGGGAGCTGCCGGCCCCCATTGCCCTGATGACCGCTGCCTCGTTTCCTCGAGCGGCTGCTGGGCGGCGCCGCCGCGGGGGGCTGGTGCTGCGGAGGGGAGCCCTCTCCGGCTGTGAGGGGGTAGGGAGGGAGGGCGGGCCTGCTCAGTCGGTGCTTGCTTACACGTAGAGCCTGCTTCCCTCCTCTTGGTGAGGCACGGCTCGTTGTGTACGTCGTAATTGCGCACTTGTAACAGGGTTCTGGGTCAGGCCGGGGCGATAGGCGCGGCGCCGTCGAAGGGTGTGCCCGCCGCGTGCGTGGGGTTCTTGTCGGTTAGGGATGAAAAGGGTCAGCCCCTTCCCGGTGCCCGCGCCTCGGCTTCTCTAAGCAGGGGAGCTGAACGCCAAAGGGCACCTCTCCTCCTGGGAGGGTGAAGCGCGTTCCAGCAGCAGGTGGTGTGGTCTTCTCTCACTCTCGCCTGGTTGTGTAGCAAGGCCTGACTCTGGCAGTTTGCAGCCATGTGTTTTGTGTTATTGTTTGTTTTCGTGTCGATTGTGAGTTAGTGATGCAGTAGTTGCTCTACAGTTGGTTATGCGTCTGTATGGAGTAGAGATGAATTGTGCAGCAGAAATGGTAACATCAGTGATCTTGCTCCTGTCCGTCTAGTCTGAGATAGAGATCCCAGATAGAATTTCAGGGAATGCATATGTACTTTATATTTTCTTGTTAGAAATACAGGTAATGTATTCCCTGCTGCACAGCGGGTGTCTCATGGGCTTGGCTGAGCTGCAAACATCTGGGAAGTAGGCAGTGCTCTTTTGGATCCCTTTAGGTTGAAGAGGGGAGCGAATGTCACTCTCTCACAGCTTGGGCAGGTGCTGTACCAACCAGTCTGCTGTAAAAGAAAAGTGGCTGTGATGGCTGGTCTCAGTGTCATCAGTGTGTGTTAGGCCCCTCAGGGCAAGGGGTGTAGCAAGATAGTTCATTTTGCAAGCAGCTGTGCTGGCTGAAGATGCAAGTCTTCCCCCAGTGGCTTGCTGCCTTTTCCTCTGCCAGAGCTACCGCCCCCACACTGCACTAATTTTGCCTGAAGTACACTAAGGAAGGTTCTTATTATTGCTCCTCTGATACTGGCAGATGTTTGGGCTTGGTTAGCAATGGGACGCATCGCTAAGATACCTGCCTGTTGCTTTAGGCACGGGACAACTTTCTTGTGATTACATGGTATCCCTGGGGTTTAAGTGGGTAGACAAATGCTTGGACCAGTCTAGGTGTCAGTAGCTATTGGTCTGTTCACAGCAGTGTTAGATGACTGAGTAACCCCTTTTGATGAAAGGGGGGAAGCGTGTTTGCCTCTGGTGTTTGGGCATCTCGCTTGCATCCTAAATTTATAGGACTAATTTCAAAGATAGGCCAGCTTGACTGGCTGAACAACCTGTTGAGAAACAATTCTAGAGAAATAAATCTAATCCTAGTACTTAAACTTTTGCTAAATGATATTATAACTAAATTATTACCTAGGTTTAGTTTTAAACTTTCTAGTTAGGGGATCACACAGTTACTGGTCATCTCATGCCTCTTACTTGCTTGCACCAGTGTGTGTTTTTCTTCCAGAAAGATTTGCAAAGGAGTAACAAAGTAATAATTGTAAATAGCAATAACTAATGTAACCATAATTAATGTATATCTTCTGGTGCTTGGGCTTCTGGGAAACCCAGCCACTTTAGTCTGGTATTTTTGTGCTTAATTTCGTAGGTCAACATCTAAAACTTGATTGGTTTGCTTAAATTATAGGATATAAATTATTTGGTGCTACACTCATCTTGTGCTTTATATCAAAGGAATTGAATCAAACAAATCTTCTCCCATTAAGAGAATTAACCAATTCAGTGATTCAAGGTTTCCACTGAGTTCTGTGCATTTGGGGAGTTATAAGTGTTTAGCCCTGGTAGAGTAGACAAGTTCATTTCTGTCATCAGAGAAAGTGAAAATTTTACAACTAATGGTGGGCTGAATCATGATACTTGTCAATCCTAATGTTTCGTTGTCTTTCTAGGGCATATTGGACATAGTAATTTCTCAGAGGTCTTGGAGCATCTCAGAATCTTGAGGGTTTTTGGAGGTGTACCTTTCTCTGATGTATGTGGTCTCCTGGAACATCGTACAGACTGTCAGCTTTCTAGGGAGTTCAAATTTGATGGTAATGCCAGCTTCAGTTCTCAAGGAAGATGGCTTGCTTCCTCAGTAACTTCATTCTTTGAGAGAAACTTAGTGGTTCTGCAGTTGCTTTATCTGTAAGGTTTGTAGTTTGCTGAAGAGTTTTTCCTAGAAAGCACAATGGCTGCACAGGTGAGCTTTAACTAGGAGCAGCTTGCTTACTTGTGACAGATTTCCTCTGATGTTTTTCACTGTTGCAGTAGGATGGATTACCTGCAGCATTATCAGTGGGGTGGCTGGTATCTTTGCCTTTACCTAGTCATTCACAAAATACGAATTCCAAGCCATTTGTAGCTGCTCAGAGGCAGGTGAAAAGGATGAAAGGATTTACTTATGAACAAGCTCTCAGTCTAACTTGTCTTTCTCAAAGTTGTGGAGTTGAGTCACAGCACTGTCTTTCAGGGGAAGTTGACTTCGTATTTTCACCCTGTGATATTTCAAAGACAACTTCGGGAAAGCTATTGTACAGTGTCACTGGTGGGCAGATTGAGATCTTCAGATGTATTTGACCAAAAAATTGTTAACAAGCTTCCATTAAACTGATCTTGAGCTTTTTGTTAAGCATTTTGTCAAGCTTTTTGTCATTTAATGCCTAAAGGGCTCCTGCAGGGATCAAGTGCTTTACTTGTTGGCCATTTAAAGGTTTTTGATAGCAAAAGCACTTAGCTATTCAGTGAATTCTCTTCCTTGGAAAAGAGACACTCAAGAGTGGGCTGAGGAAAGCTGACTTTAACACTGTGTCACTTGTCAGTGCTGGATCCCAAGGCTTTGAATTAAGGAGGATGGAAAAAGTGGGAAGTAGGGGTCATCTTGGTGGGTCCCAACCTAAAACAAAAAAAGACTTCTCTAGTTCACATGCATGGGTAGTAATTCTACCGGTGTAGTGATGACTTGTTTGAATAGAAGGCAAGTTAAAGCAGAGAAAATGAATATGGCACAAAGCCATAATGGCTTTGAGAGTACACTAATGAAGCAAAAAACCTACTCTCCTTTATAGTTGTCTCCCCAGGCTTAATTCTCTCAATTCTCAGTGCTGGGAATAAACATCCTCTGCAGTGGTGCTGTCTGTGATCAAAACGTCCTCTGCAGTGGTGCTGTCTGTGATCAGAACATCCTCTGCAGTGGTGCTGTCTGTGATCAAGCTAATTGATGGTGTTTCTGTCATTGCAAATGGTAAAAATACCACTTGGATCACAAGAAAATCTGATATTAATGTGACAATATTGTACATTCAGTACTTCACAAAACATGCCTTCTTTGGAATATCTTTTTTTTAAAGTTTTCTCTCTTAACTTCAGGTAGAGTGGGAGACTTTCGTCAGTGAAATCATGCCAGTCTGTTTTACAGAATTCAGCATGTCTTTTCTGAATAAGAGCAAAAAACCCATTCTATTAGTTCTGTGATGTTGTCTAGGAGCAGCTTTGCTAACGTTTATCTTGAGCAAATTCACGTTGCTGCTTTTCCAGTAATGTTTAATTTGTTGAAGTGAAGAAAATTAAGTTAGAAAAACATGTTTGGATGGAATATAACAACGCACATGATTATATTAAAATCTGGTTTTAAAAAAGTAAAAAGTGTGGCTTGGTACAGTTCTTGAATATGATTGTAACGATGCTGTGTGCAGGGGTTCCATGGTCTGAAAAAAAGCTTTAGGTTGTTTTCTTTGTTGCCTTCTTTTTCTTCTCATAAGAAGCAAAAACAGGCTAACTTCATGGTTTGAGTGGGACATTGTAAGCAGAAGAGCACAAGATAATGTGGTTTGTTAATGTCAACCTTCAGCTTATGTCTGTGGTCACACTTAAAAATGTCCTTCTTGGTTTCTCTGCCTTCTGTTCTTTTCACTGTAATATCTCTTCTGCCTTATACTGTAGAGTTTCCAGTCTCTGGTTTGGGTGTCCTTCCTTCCACAATAGGCCAGTTCTGGAGTTTCTGTTTCACACTTCCCTAGTTGACTAGTTTTGTTTGGTTTTGTATTAAAAATAAGGACTGATTTGCTAGCTTTCTAGGGTTTTAATAAAGCTTGTATTTACTTGTTTTCCCCCAAGCTGGTTGTCTTGTGGAAGAAGTGCTAATGAAACCTGTTAATGTCTAAAGCATGTGGCTTTTTCTTGTGCTGCTTTCAGCCTTTTTCTAAACATTTTTTGACATGTGGTTTTCATTATGCGCTCTTCTGCTATTGACTTTGTCATTCAGAACTAACTTAAGTCATGAATAGAAACTAGAAAGTAGTTTTGCTGTGGGATCTGGCATGTAACTGAGACAGAGCTACTTATGTATGATGAGATTTGTGCATGCCTTTCCTTATGATGGTGTCTTCTACTAGTAAGTAGAACTTCTCTTTCCTGCTTAATTGGTCTGCAGCTTGCTCAGTGTTCCATGGCAAAGCCAAGACTTTTGCACTGGGAAGGAGATGCAAGTTTGAGACAGCATCCCTCTTACTTCTTTGAGGAAAAGAGTCTGTCTTTAATATTCCTAAGGCCTCTAGAGCCTTAAGAGTGGCAAGTAGTCATGGAGGACTGGTGACTGCCTTCCATTTCCCATTCCCCAAGGTGACTGGAGGTATTTGTAAGTATGTGAAGAGTGGCAATGTGGTCTTTGTGGGAGGGACGCTGGTTATTATCATGCTAGCCCTTGTAATTCCTTGGGTCAAAGTGATAAGATATTGCATGCTTTCTCAGAAATTTCATTACAGAAATGTACTTGGATGAGCTTATTGCTTTCTTTGAATTACTTCAATACTAAAAAAGTGCATGATGTGCTTAATTAGCACTGCTTGTGCTTTAGTTGTGGCAGAAGTGCTACGAAAGTAATGAAAGATAGAAATAACCAGTACAGCCATCTGCAGAGTGCTTTAATTTCATTTGAATCTCCTTGGTCAATGATGGGGAAAAGCTAAAAAAATGGGTGATAGAGGCTTAGGTGATTGTTCTTGGGTGTGATCATCTGGACATTGGGCCAGTTCTTGGTGGAGATGGGTAGGAGAAGGGTGGTTGAACAAGGTAAACGATTTGCAATTGTTGCTAGAACTTGGACTGATAAAATGGGAGGAATGAAAGGTAAGATGTCTTGGTAATATTGGAGAAGATCTTGTACAGGTCATAGAGGCTGGAGTAAGTGCATTGGGAGAGTTTACAAATCAGAGGAAAGCATGAAAATGTCATACTGAAGTGCTGCAATTTTAAGAAATACTGATTTAGAGATTGTTTTTGCAAAATTCGTCAATGTAGACAAAACATTGTTAACCTCTGCTTCCAAGTGAGGTTTGAATTGCCCTTGTAGAAAAATCAGTTTGTGCATCCTGGTATAATAATAGCAAATGTGAAAGCATACACGCAAGCTCACATCTTTACATGAGCAGTGAATGTTTTCTTCTTGAAAACTGTCCTAATTGTTTCTTAAAACTGAAGAAGGAGTTAAGCATTAAGCTAAAATAAATTCTTGGCTGAACAGTGTGTGGGATTCAGTAGAGTCATGGATGCATAATTGTACAGATTTATTTATATTTAAACAGTTTCCTGAATTCAGATTGTGCCTCTCGCCTGTATAAATACTGAACTACTCCCTCCCCCCTTAATTTCACAATAACTTTAGAAGCTGCAAATCCTTGTGCTCTAGTTGGCTACTGACTTTTAGTAGCCAGTCATATGGTATAGATTTGCAAAGCTGACGCAAAATGGAGCAATTCATCTCCTCCGTAATACAGGCTGCTGAAAGCATAGCACCCTGAAGCTCTGCTCATTGCACTGTAACCCTGCTGAGTACCAAGACGAGTTCAAGGTTTTGGTTTTGGTCTTAGACTTTACAATGCTTGATGGCAAAGGCCCAAGCCGCCTGAGGGAACACCTTCTGCAGTCACTGCTGCTCATGACA